AGGATATTTATATACTTTGAAGCCATATTGTATTAGAAAGGGTATTATTAAATTAAGGGGGACGGCCATCCATTTCGGTGGCCATCACGAGGATACCACTTTTGGTTTTCCTCACCACCTCTTCCGTCTCCTCTCCTCCGCGAGGGGCCAGTTTATTACAGCACCACATTCTCGAGCGATCCGAGTACTCATTGCGATGTCTCCATCAACCAGACTCACCTTGAGACTATTCATGTAGTGGGCCTAGGGCTCACTAGTTAGCTTACACGTGTGCGCACGTGTAGGAGGAAGCGTAGGTGTTGTTAGCTTGTGTAGCGTACACACGATGGGTGTGTACGAGTAGACAAGGTAAGAGTGCGATAGAAATGTGGAGTAGCTGGCTCACGTTTTCGTGTAAGCTTGCCCTCGCACAAACCCGATGCGGCCGAATCGATGGCTGCGTCAGGTATTTCCCCGGAACTTGTAGTAGCGTATCTCAGGTCAGGGTGGAGATGTAGCTGGAATAGAGTCTTGTTGCGGTGTGGGTTGTCTTAATAGACGTGTGTCAGTTCTGACGACGACTTCCGGCCTTTTTCACCTTCGGTCGTGAGGTTTTGTCCGTGGTTGTGCGGCGTTATCGGGCCTGCGTTTTCAAGGGGGTGTGGGGCGTTATCGAGCCACCACTCGTTCTTCGTATCCCGCGTCCTGTTATCGGAGGACGCTTCGGCGGTATTCTTTTACATGTCCCTCACTACGGGCACGGGATGTTGGGGGTGAGTTCACCACCAATCCGAGATCGGGGGGCCGCACTTATCGAGGCGGCTCTACTTGCCGAGCGCTGGAGGGTCTTCAGACGTAGACGCGCGAAGAAGACTTGGGGCTCCTGTCCGACCAGTAACTTAGGGGGATTTTTGCACAACCAAGAATATTTGCAACTGGTCCTATCCTGCCTATCCTATCCACTGGCTTCCTTCCTGCATAATTCGTCTAACGGTCGCACCTACTGCAACCCTAGTCCCTGTGATACCTCGACCTGATTCATGACTTGGGCTCCGATATCTTGGACGAGTCGTAAGACGGGGTCCGTCCTAAGCCCTCCGAGAACGGGGTCCGTCCTAGGCCATCTAAGACGGGGTCCGTTCTTGAATCACCAGGGCGTTGTCGTCGGCGCAGCCACATGATTCTATGACGGTGTCACTTCTCGGAGGTCTCGGTCTTAGTGACTGTCTGATCGAGATCAGCGAATCAGAGAATCAAATCCTCCCGTCCTTCGTCAGGTCCCTTTCCGTCATTCGTCCTGCGTCTCTCGTCGACAGGTTATCACCGCGCCGAACTTCCTGGCACTCCACCACATCCGTCCCGCCGCTATTCCTGCGCACTCCCCAGATGAATGGGTAATCGCGGAACCCATCCTAATCGGCGCGGACTAACCCTTCGCCTCTGTTATGCTCTTCCTCTCTGTTGTAGCCCTAATGTCAGACTCGGACCCGTCTCAACACGATGCGCCGTCCAGCTCGCCTTTCTATGGGTTTCAGTCCACCGGTTCCGCACGCGAGTCCAGTTCCAATGGGACTACGTGTGACCTACTTCATCACCAACGGGTGTTGGGTGTGTGCCACTGGAACTGAATGACCGACGCTTTCCGCGGAGACTTCGATCCAGATTCCGGTCATGGGTGACCCGATTCCGTCGGTGGACGCTCTTGTTGTCGACGCCACCGCCCTTGAACATGAGGCGCGGACGCTGCGCTCTCGCCTCGAGTTATCCACGGCTCTGAACGCTGGTATGTCTCCGCATGCTTTCGTTCTCCACGATCAGCTTGACGCCCTGGGAGATCGCGCCCGTGAGGGCTACGAGATTGGGCTTCAAGCCACCGACCGACTGAGCACCGATGTGGAGACGCGAGACCGCACCATTCGTGAACTATGAGATGACAACGTGGGTCTCCGCGCGGACGCGTTCCGCACAAACGAATGGCGTACGCGCTACGAGAACATGTGCAAGTCTACTGCTGATAAAGAAGCCGCTTACCAGGACGCCCAAGCACGCGCCAAGGCTCGCATCTCGCGTCTGAACTCCCAGTTAGCCGCGGTGTCCGCTGGATCGTTGTTGCCACCGACGTCAAACCCCTCCACCCCGTCTGGACCGTCATCGCCGTCGCCGACCGCATCTGCTACGACCGCTACGCAGACAGAGGAAACGGCGGACGCGTGCCAACGCGTCCGCGGCGAGCTCGACGCATCGAAAGTCACTCTCTTGTCTACCCAAGCCGAGCTACGTTCCGTGGGACGCAAACTTGACTCCGCGCGAGCCGCGAGTATTCGACATGCTTGCCAACGGTATTGCATGGTGTCCGACTTGTGCAGTGCTCGCTGCGCGCTCGCCCAGAGTCGTCGTAAGCTGGACATAGCACGCGCAGCTAACGCGCCCCATCAGGACGACGTCTGTGGTGTTAACGCCTTGTTGGTGGCCCACGCGGAGGAACATCAACGAGACGTAGCCCGCGTGCGCGACCAGGAGACGTTGTCGTCAGCGGCTGAGACGGCTCGCGTCTCTGCAGAGTCCGACCGCGGATGCCGAAGCCAGTGTTCTCCCGCTTGTGTCGCGCGCTGCCCTCTACCGGACAGCTCTGGTGGACGCCGTCTCAGCGTCGCGTTCAGGCCCTCGATCGGGAAAGAACTCTCAATGCCCGCATGTTAGAGCTAGAGAACGAGCTCTCACGAAGTCGACGCGCTTCACGCACTGAGATCGCGCGCTTGGAGGGACTGATCGACAGCTCGGATTGGTCCTATACCGAACGCACCCTGACCTGGCGGCATCTCCTACGAGAGGCCCGCATCGGACGCGGGGCGGTACGTCAAGTTCGAGACGCCCTCGTCGCTCGTCTTAGCGACATGGTGAACGCTGCAGGTAGCTCGCTCGACGGTCCTTCGCGGGTGCGTACTCTGGAGAGTGGCGTGGAGGTTGCTGTTCAGTTCCGCTCCCACCCGATCTTGACCCTGCTATTGACCAGGCTGCAACCACACTTTCTGGGCTCTCGTCGTCGACCGCGGCTCTCGGTGGAGACACTTCGCACTCGTCGACATCTGCCTCTTCGGCAGCCCAGAGTCCTCCACGGCCACACCTCCGGCGTCGTCGTCTGGCGCGTCCTCGGCTACGCAAGACAGCTCACAAGCCACGCCTTCGTCGACACCACGTAGCTCCACTACCACGCCCCCAGCGTCGTCGGCTCGTACACCCACTCCGGTTTCGTCACAGCCGGCCGCGCCTATCCCTTCTTCGACGAGCTCGGCCACTCCGTCGATAACAACTCCTACTGTGAGGCGTACCACCGGCCCTGGCGGACCCATTCTCTCCCACCGTGGCGACGGTAGTAGTACCGCCGGCGCGTCCGGGCTGAGACGGAGCCGTCGTTCTTCGACCGTAGCAGATACGGCGGTGACCAACAGCGCTGCTGCATCCTCCCAGGCCCACTCGTCCCCCGCCGCCGACTCGAATCTCGGCTCGCGTCGTCGCCTCATTTCTCCAGACTCTTCAAGTGAGGAGTCGGCCGCGCGTCGACCAGCTCTTCAGCGGCGTCGTGTGCCGCCGCCATCTCCTCTGACTCACCGGACGACGTCTCAGACCCACGCGCCTCGGGTGATGGAGCCACCTCGTCGGGTGGTAATCGTCTGTTCTCCAGTAGTGACTCCACCGACGCGGACGACGGGCCGACTACTAGCGGCGGAGGAGCTTCAGCAAGCGTTGCGACGACCACGCCGGCGATTTTTACGCCCGCGACGTGACCGACCTTCGCCCCAGTGATTCCTCCGTTCTCGGACCCGACTGATTGGACTCGGTCCCGTCATACACCTTGCCCTCGCACCCTGCGGGCTATTACGCTCTCGTCCATCACGGCTCGTGCACTAAGCGTAACGCACCTGCCGCCGCGGGCGTGGATTTTCCCGACCACGTCTCCTCCGGCCCCAGCCTCGTGGAGGTCTACCCTGCTGACCGAGAGGGCGGTGAACGATCTCTATGCGACTCGACCGTGGGATTATCTCGCGCGGCGCGTCCAACCTCTCACGTTTGACGCGAGCGACCCACGTTTTCAGCCATTCATGTGCCGCTACGAGAGGCATCTGGATCACTTGGCGCAGGCTTACTGGGAGTCCACCCATGAGCTCCCGGTGCTGAACTCTCCCGCGTGGGCGCGATGGCGTCGTCGCAGGAATTCTCGCCGGTCGCATGCGGCCGACCACTTGATCAGTGCGTTCCAGCTCCTTTTAGTACTCTTTCACGCAGGCCACGCGGATCTAGACGTGTTACTCGACGTCATGCTGTTGATGTTTCCACCCAGTCGCTCAACTGTCGGTCACTGGTATCGTGACCTGCGCAACTCGACTCTGGAGGTGGCGTTGGTCGAGGTCGACGCGAACGAGCCATGGCGTCGCTCCTTTCGCTCCCAGCCCAACGCAGCCGAGGATTGCACAGTGACTCGTGAGCACCCCGCATATGCCGTCCGTCGCCTTGCATCCAAGTTCGTCGAACGTGGGCAGAATTGGTCATAGGCGTAGCATAGCCGTCCGGCTTGGGTAGGCCTTAAGCTTGAATCCGTTCTTTCTATGCTTCTCTGTTTCTTGTTATAGAGCGACCCTCCGTCGCCCTATCTTTGGCCAACGAGCCGGTCCTCCTTACTTCCCACAACTCATCTTCCCAGGCTCCAGCCAGTCCCAGAGCCTGGTTCCTCTTGTCGGCAGCCACCCCGTCGACTTAACACCCACCTTCGTTCATCCTCCGGCCGATGCGTCCTCATGGGACTACATCACCCCGAAGCGACTCCGTCCTGTGCGTTGTCGTAGGAAGTCGTACAGAAGTCCTCCACAGTTTAAGTCCAACTCATCGACCCAGCTCGTCTCTTTGTATCCACGCCACTTCACGCGGAACTCGCGTCGCGTACGCCCGTAACGGGTCGTCCGTCCTTCGCGCACATCCAAGCTTTGTTCCACCTCATACACGTCTTCGCCCAAGTCGCGCGTCTCCTAACTGTCCTCTGGGAGGAGCTCCTCGTCGAAGTCGAAGCGTTCACTAGAGGGTACTGTCAGTTGCAGCTCAGGTCGCGATGGGAACTCACGGACGGGCTTCAGCTTTGAGACGTGCACGATCGGGAATAACTGGCACGGAGTTCCGTGGATCTCTAGACGCACATCGTATGCGCTGACCAACTGCGCGACCAGGAACGGTCCGTGACACATATGCGCGAGTTTGCGCGCGTATCCCCGCTTGACTCGATCCAGATACAACCAGACTCGCGAGCCCCGTTCTATCGCGTGCTCAGTGGCGTGCGCGTTCTGGCGTGCAGCTCTCGCGTCTACCGCCTCGCGGACGAGTTCCAAGGATTGGGCGCGTGCTATCTGGTAGTGACGCTGAATGCGCATCCTCCATCGTCGATCTTCTGTATCTCGGTACGAAGTATTACCTACCGCAAGCGTCTCTTCCAACGTAGACCGCGGATCCCAGCCGTGCACGAGAAAATAATGGGGTTTCGTCCCGAGTTCGGTCGTGAGCCGTGTTAAGCGCGTACGTCAGTCGCTCTGCGTATTGGTCCCAGTCGCGTTGGTCGCTGTCGGCAATGTACATCTTGATATCCCTCGTAATGGTCTGTACCATGCGTTGTGCTGCCCCGTTTGCTTGAGGACGGGACGTGAGCGTCGCGCGTTGTCGCGTTGTCGTTGTCCAATCAGCTTGTTGAAAGCCTTGAAAAATTCTGACATGAAACCGGGCTCGCGGTCGTGACGAATCGTTTCGCTGGCACCGAATCGTCTGAAGGCGGCTTCCTCATACGATTCCGCGACGGTCTGCGCCGTTCGAGATGCACTCGTCTTCGCGATCACGAAACCCGTGAAGAGGTTGACCCAGATCAAGAGTTCCGTGTTGCCTTTCCGCGACGCGGGTAGTGACGGGATATGGTCCATCGCCACGACTTGGAATGGGTACGCCACGACTATATTGCCCGGTGACCCCCCCCTCGGATCGTGGGACGGCCTTTCCCCGTCTCACTGTCAACGCATTCTATGACGTGGCGCTGTACGCTCTTGAACAGCCCTGGCCAGTGAAAATGTTGTCGTATCCATTGATACGTCCGACCGATGTCCTGATGTCCGCCTTCCAGACTTGTGTGGTAATGGTGCAGCATGTCTTCTCTGAGGGTCTCTGGAACGACCAGTCCTATTTTCTGCGGCCTCAGTCCCACGTACGTGGTATTACAGTAAACCGCTCTCCCCCACTCGTACTGTTCCGCTATTTTGACGCAGTTCTTCGCCTCGTGTTTGGACAGCTCACTGATATCCCCGTCTAGAAACTTCTTGAGATTGGAGATCCAATACTCTTCTTCTTGCGCAGTGCGGACTCGATCCAGACGTAGTCGTTGAACCTCGAGCTCTTTCAAGACTTCCGGTTGTTCCCTCGGCACCGGATTCGACGCGTCCCGTGAGCGTGTGATCACGAGGTAAACTTTTGTCCCGCGTTCTGCATCATGTGGTGTAGTAAAATCACTTCTGAACCAACGGTAGGAAAAGAC